TCCCTCCTATTGGGAGCAACAGCGTCCCCTGCTGGTTCCCCAAATGCAAAGGCCACAAAGGAGGTCTCCTAGCGCCTTCTCACTCCTGCAGGGATCTCTGCTCTTGCATGTCCCACCCTCCAGAGGTTCAGGGACAAAAACAGGGAACGGCCCCCTTCTCCTAGCGAGGGCTGCTGGCCAAGCTCTCCACACATCATCAGACCATTCGACGGCGCTTGCCTGTGTTTGTTTTGCTGTGCCGCTGATTGCAAAGCCGAGAGGGTGTCACTATTTTCCATTGCCGATAAACCAGGAGGAAAGAAACTTCCCTGCAATGTGTTATCAGCAGCTGAAAAATGACCCTTTGTCCACTGTGGCATGTGAAATAGCAGGCAGTGCAAACGCTTTGGGGAGGGAGATTTTTGTTTAAATCCCTTTCTTTGCTCCCAGAAGCTCAGGACAGCATTCAAGGTTCTCCCCTCTTGCGTTTTTATCCTCCCAATATCCCTGCAAGGTAGGCTAGGCGGAGAGAGAGAGAGAGAGAGAGAGAGAGAGAGAGAGAGTGACTGGCCCTGGGTCACTCTGTAGCTGTGGATTTTAATCCAGGTCTCCCCAGTGGCAATTTGACACACTAATTGCTGCACCGCGGTTTGATGTCGTCGTTAAGAGCAGCAGGACTCTAATCTGGAGAATCGGGTTTGATTCCCCACTTCTCCACATGCAGCCAGCTGGGTGACCTTGGGCCAGTCACAAGTTCTCACAGTGCTGTTCTCTGGCCTTAGAGCCGCACCAAAAGAGGCACGTGGCGACGGGATCACACACAGATCCCCTGAGCCGCCGCACAGTTGCTCCCCGGCATGATCAGATGCCGGGGAGGAAGCCACTGAAGGGAGACGGAGGCAGCCGGCTGCGCATGTGTGCGCATGCGCAGGTCGGCCGGGATCCTCGAATGCTCCTGACGACGGCCACGACGGCGATCCCATGGCTGCGCTTGCTGCAGCGTTTCCAGTAAGTCCTGCTCTTTAGCAGGTTCTTTTTGTATGCGCATTTTTGGCCTGAAGAGCCGGATCGGGGTCGGGCGCTCACCGCTTCCCAGATGTTGCGGTGGGATCGCGCCCGTTTGCTGCGCCCCCGATCCGTCCCTCTTCTGGCCCTAAACCTCTCGTGTGACCGGAGCCTCTCAAGAGCAGTTTCTGTCAAGAGCTCTCTCAGCCCCGCCTACCTCACAGGGTGTGTGTTGTGGGGAGAAGAAGGGGAGGAGATTGTAAGCTGCTCTGAGACTCCTTCAGGTAGGGAAAAGCGGGGTATAAAACCAACTCCTCTTCCTCCTCCTCCTCTTCTTCTTCTTCTTCCTGAAAAATGACACATGACAACAAAGCAAAATCTGGTTGTCAACAATGACCATGGTTTGAAAAAGACCAGGAAATCAAGGCTGTCTGTAGAGCTGCCAACTCCAGGTTGGGAAATTCCTCGCTATCTGGGGGTGGAGCCTTGGGAGGGCGGGGTTTGGGGAGGGGAGGAGCCTCCGCAGGGTATAAAGCATAGGGCCCACCTTCCCAAGCATCAGTTTTCTCCAGGAAAACTGATCTCTGTTGTCTCGAGATCAGTTGTAATTCTGGGAAATCCCCAGGTCCTGACTGGAGGTTGGCAGCCCTAGGCCTGCCCCCATGAACTGGGACAGCAAGAGAGTTAAATAGGGTGCAAGTTGAGGGGCTACCTGGTTGTAGCCCCCTCCTCTTAATAGGAGATATTTATTTAGCACCAGCCCTGGAGATTCCAACTGGCGTCCTGTCTCAAACAACTGTTGAGGCAGAAGTTCCACAGATGTAGCTGGAAAGCAAAACGTGGCCAGGGATCCTGGAGGGTTCCCCCCACTTTTCTGGGCATAGAGCAGGGGTGGCCTTAATCAATGGGGTTCTCTTATGAGATAAATCCCATAGGATTTCCTGACGGGTAACAGGACAATGCTCCCTCTAAGCTGTGGAGTCTTGTGAGCAACAATTCTACTTTGTGAGCTCCTGGCATTCAAGGTGTGAGCCAGCGATTTGGCGACTGCATAAATTAGTTTGCTCTGGAGCCCTCCTCCCTGAGCTAAGGCAAAAATGTGTAAGCGAGAGGCTAAAAAACTGTGAGCTAGCTCACACTAACTCAGCTTAGAGGGAACTCTGCAGGATATGTGTATGAATCCTCTATTTGTATCCAGTGTTTGGGAGATAAACCGCATAGTACCAGAGTCCCTGCAGCCAGTGTCCCCTCTAAGCTGAGTTAGTGTGAGCTGGCTCACGGTCTTTTAGCCTCCGGCTCACACATTTTCTTCTTAGCTCAGGAAGGACGGCTCCAGAGCAAACTAATTTATGCAGCAGCCCAATCGCTCGCTCACAACTTGAATGCCAGTAGCTCACAACGTAGAATTTTTGCTCACAAGACTCCACAGCTTAGAGGGAGCATTGTGGGGGGGGAGAGAGGTATTTGTGAATTTCCTGCATTGTGTAGGGGGTGGACTAGATGACCCTGGAGGTACCTTCCAACTCTTATGATTCTATGAAGTCTTTGCAGGGAGAAATGGGAAGGGGGAGGTGATGGAAGAGAAATCTGTGGCCGCTTCCCCACGCCCGGCAGCCTTCATAAGAACATAAGAGACGCCAATGTTGGATCAGGCCAAAGGTCCATCCAGTCCAACACTCTGTGTCACACAGTGGCCAGAAATACCAGGGGCCGTCAGGAGGTCCAGCAGTGGGGTCAGGACATTAGAAGCCCTCCCTAAATGGTCTCCAGTCGGGTACTGATAAATTATGTATTTATGATTTATTATTTTTATTATTTTTAAATTTATATCCCTCCCTCCTCCCATCGATTGCATCCGGCTCCAGGATCCTGCCTACTTGGAGAAGCTGGAGCGCTGTGATTATCTGAAAAAGAAGCTCACACACATCAAGGCCCAGATCCAAGCATACGACGGCGAGGCGGAAGAAGACTCTGTGCACTTCTGAGGCACTTCTGGATGTGGCCCAGGCCCGTAGCTACAGTGGGGCATTTCAGGGCCTGGGCCCCCCAAATTCCTTTAAACCCAGCCCCCCGCGACACTAGCAAGATGTGGTGGCCGCCACGAGCTCCCCCTGTGCTGCCAGGGCCATAGAGCTGACGGCCAGGCAGAGGACGCTGCTGCCACACCCGAGAGCACGGAGAAGCTGGTAATTAAATTACTTTTAACCAAATTAGCCAGTGCCCAGTGTTCCCTCTAAGCTGAGTCAGTGTGAGCCAGCTCACAGTTTTTTAGCCTCCGGCTCACACATTTTTGTCTCAGCTCGGGAAGAAGGGCTCCAGAGCCAACTCATTTATGCAGGAGCCAAATCGCTCGCCCACAGCTCACAAAGTAGAATTCTTGCTCACAGGACTCCACAGCTTAGAGGGAACGTTGCCAGTGCCCCTGTGCCCCCCGAGGAATTAAAATCCCCCCCTGACTTAGAAATTACTGGCTACGGCCTGATGTGGCCCCCTCCTGGCCGTGCACGACGGACTCGGCTCTCTGCAGTGCAGATCAGAGAATCGCTTGGATCTGGGGGAGAGTTTGCTGACGATCAGCAGAGGCGGGCAGGAGAGACCTGGACTGTTACCCGTGGAGCGACCCCTCACACACCGAGACATGGCTGAGTTGGAGAAAGCAGAGGACGTTTCCCTCCCTCTATCTCTGCTCCTCCCGGCATTTCTGTTAGCTTGTGTGTGTATTTTACGTTGCGCATTTACTTCTGTATGTGTGCTTCATTTTATTACCTCTTTCAATACAAAAAAAAAAAAAAGCTTTTCTTGGTTAAGCCACAGCCTGGTTTATTTCTGAGAGTTTCACTAAGGGAAAAATCCCCGTAAACGTTGGTGGCGATCTTGCGCATCAACCCCTCTCACAAGCCCTGCCTCCTTCACTAATTCCCCCAATCAAATAGGAGACAGCCCCTTCGGGTAACAATGGCAGTGAGTTCCGTCATCTAATTCTGTGCTGTGCGGAGCAGGATTGTCTTATTGTCTGATCCACTTTTCTCCCTACATCGTTTCATAAAGTTCCGTCCACGCCATGGCACTGGATCCCTGCTGAGGAATCGCTCTTTGAGTGTGGGGTTGTATTATTTATTTACTTACTCCATTTGTACTCTGATCTGGGAGAACCGGGTTTGATTCCCCACGCCTCCACTTGCAGCTGCTGGATGACCTTGGGACAGTCCTAAGTTCTCTAAAAG